TTCAGCGGATCCGGCTAATGAGCTTGCTGATGCCCTCGCTGGTCGTGCCTCACGGACCTATAGCGGGTTCTCTTTCCCTCCGTTTCAGCTTTCCGACTGGTTCTCTCACGCGGGGGCGGCATTTGCCTGGCTACCGCATGTGTGCTATACGCTGCGTGTTCCTCATGCAGTCCCCACCGTTCGAAATGAAGTTATGTCGTGGAGCCGGGGAGATTCTCTGGTACACATGTCGCCGGCTGAAACAACGGCTCCTTTTCTGCGGGTGTCGGATGGAGGTACTTTGGCTGCAGTGAAGGGCCGCGCTTTCACTGTCGCAGCCGGGCTTGCTTCCTTTAATGTGCTCTCACTTCTCGATCCGGGAGGACATTCTAAGAACTCCGGCATACATGGGGCTGCCGGACGGGTTAAGCTTGTATGCGATTCGTTCCGGTCCCATGGGGTCGTTCTAGCGGGACTTCAAGAATGTCGCACTCCTCCAGGCGTTATGGTCTGCCAGGGCTTCAGACGTTACGCGTCAGGGCAGGATTCCAATGCTTGCTTCGGTGTTGAACTTTGGATCTCTGAGATGGGGCCCTTTGACGTAAGTTCGACTATCGTTCTGCATGCGGAGCCCACCTTCATGATCGCCGGCCTCTCTTTCCACGGACGTTCCTTGCGTGTCCTGGTTGCCCACGGTCCACACCGGGTGCACTCTGAAGCTGTTAGAGACGCCTGGTGGCAGCGTGTTCAGCAGTTTTGCAGTATTCATGCCCGTGGGGCGTCCTGGGTTGTTCTTGCGGATGCTAATTGCCGTGTTGGCAGTGTGTGCAGCCCTGGAATCGGTGGTCACCAAGCTGATGTTGAGGATTTTTCAGGTTCTCTCTTTCGGCAATTGCTTGATGAGCTTGGCTGCTGGCTTCCGGCCACCTTCTGTGATTCCGCTTGGGGAGCGGGAGGTACCCTGTACCAGAAGCGCAATGGCGAATGGGATCGATCTGATTTCGTGGCGCTCCCATGTGCGTGGAGCCTTTCACGATGTGCAGCCTGGGTTGAACCCACCATTTCTGCAGGGCATAGATGCCTGGATCACTGTGCTGTGGTCGTTTCCTGTGTTATCTCCTTTCCAGGGGCCTGTCGCAACAGGGCCAGTGCTCGACGTATTGATGCTGATGCGGTCGCATGCCCCGACAACCGAGCTCTTGTTGAGAATATCATCCAGCATGCTCCTGTCCCTGCTTGGTCCACTGATGCTAGTGAACATGCGGCCGTCCTCGTGGATTACCTCTACCGAAGTTTGGTGGAGGCTTTCCCAGCGGTCAAACGGCGGATGCGCGGCAATCACTTCTCTGACGAGACCCAACGTTTACACCAGCTTGTAGCGGGTTTGCGCCACTCCATCCGCGCACGCACCATCGCATATAACAACACGTTGCTTAGGTGTGCTTTCGCGTGTCTCCGCCCTGATGGGCCAGCTTTTGTGGACGTTTTCTCAGGCCGCTGGCTGTGGCGGCTTCAAATACGCAGAGCCCTTGACTGCATGCTGCTTGGTCGATTCGGGAAGCGCCTGCGAAAGAGCTGCAGGCAGGACAATGCCGATCGCTTGGTTCAGCTATCTGACCAGATAGCTTCTGCCCCGTGTGCCGAGCTGCATAAAGAGGTGCGAAAGGTTCTTAGACCCAAGAAGTTTCGCAGGGCTTCGGCCTCTCCTTTACCACTTCTGCGTAAGTCCAATGGTGAGGTGTGTGCTTCCCAGGCTGAGGTTACGCAGGTTTGGCGCGATCATTTCCGGATCCTTGAAGCTGGGCAGGAAACTTCGTCTGCAGCCCTTTTCGACAGGTGCCGCGTCAGGCAGCTTTCTTTTGAAGGCACGGACGCTGTCGAATGTGCTTCTATCCCTACCTGGGATCAGCTCCATGCCGCCTTCCGGGCCACGTTGCCGCACAAGGCATGCGGCCCTGACTTGCTACCGCCGGTCCTATGCACGCTTTTCAGTCAACGTATGACGGAGGCATTTTGGCCCCTCATGCTTAAGGCTGTGCTCCGGGCTAATGAAGCAGTGGGCCTCAAAGGAGGAGTCCTGCACAGGATAGCAAAGCCCTCTGCTGTTGAAAACACGACGGCTGGCTATCGTGGCATCCTTGTGCAATCATGTCTTTCGAAGGTCTTGCATCGTGCAGCTCGTCACATGGCAGTCCAGCATTGGGACCGTCACGTTTTGCCGATGCAAATTGGAGGGCGTCGGGGGTGCCCTGCGACGTTTGGACACTTCTGCTCCCGGGCTTTCCTGGCCATGGCACGTTCCCGGAGTCAGACTGCAGCGATCCTCTTCGTCGACATCGCAGCCGCCTACTATGGCGTCGTCCGTGAAGCCATTCTGGGCTGTGGTGGCAGTAGCTGCCCCTTAGAGCAGTTGGTGGCATCCTTGGGCCTTACGCCCGCTGACATGCAGCTTCTCCAGGTGTACATCGAGCAGGAGCCAGTCCTGGCTCAACAAGATGCTCCGGCGCTCTTCTGCGAGGTCGCCGAGGAACTGCATAGGAACACTTGGTTTATCCTATCAGGGGATGCTCAGGTAGTCGAGACACACCGGGGCACTCGACCTGGTGGGTCCTTGGCTGACATTATTTTCAGCATTCTGTTCAGCCGTGTCCTGGGCAGGCGCTGTCAATCCACTTTGCAGCCCTTTGTGCCGAAAGTTTGCTGGAATGGAGTGCGCACCCCCTGGCCTGACGACACCCCGGATGGCCTCGCAGTTCGCAGCATGGAGGCAAGTGATGTGGTGTACGCTGACGACCTTGCCAGTTTTCTGGTCTGCGCCCGTGCCGAAGAGGCGTCTCATATGGTGGCTAGTGTCGCTGCCGACACGATCGACACTTTGCTCCCGCATGGGCTCAATGCCAACATAGGCCCCACCAAGACGGCAGCATTGGTCGTTCCTGCAGGTAGAGGGTCCAAGGCGGTCCGTAGACGGCTTTTCAGTGAGGGCAAGGGACGTTTGGTAGTACTGCCTGAAAATCGAGGAGGTTTTAGGCTTGACCTTGTTCCCGCGTATAAGCACCTGGGGTCCATAGTGACCCACGATGGTTGCCTGCTTCTTGAAATCCGGCACAGACTTTCTGCCGGAAGGACCGCAATGAAGGAAGGAAAGCAGCGCCTATTTGCTTGCAAGCGTGTCCCGCTTATGCGCCGGGCCAGCATCTTCCGGGCCCACGTGCTTTCCGCAGTACTTCCTGGGGTGGGTACTTGGCGTAAGCTACAAGGGCAGGAGTGGGCTGCCTTCTCTGGGGGTATAGTGAGCCTCTATCGCCAGCTTTTGGGTTTGCGCACTGAAGGCGGCTTTCGGTGTACTGAGGCACAGATTCTCCACAGGGCAGGTCTTCCCTCTCCAACGTCCCTTCTGCAGACTGAGCGCCTTCGCTTCCTGGGACAGCTGGTTAGACATGGGCCGGACGTTGCTTGGGGCCTTCTGTCGCACTATGAAGGCTTTAAGGCCGGGCTCCGCGATGCAGCGGACTGGTTGTTGGCTGCGACCGGCACAGCTGATGGGCTTCCCGATATCCAGCGTGGCTGGGATCTTTGGATGCGTCTCCTGTCAGATTCCCCCGGGCGCTGGAAGGCCATGCTTAAGCGTGCGGAGGCTTGGTACTCTTTGCGTGAAAGTCAAACCGCTCTGCTTGATGGCTTTGTGCGGGAAGTGTGGACGAATCGCGCCGTGCATCACCCCACTGCTATTTCACAATGTGAGCATGCTTGCCTGCTGTGCCGTGTTGCGTTTCGTACCAGGCAGCAATGGGGTGCTCATGCTCACAGGGCCCACAACTACCACTCGCGAGCACACCTGATTGCACAAGGTCGCACCTGTCAGGCTTGTGGACTTCAGGTCTCCTCTGAGGGAAGGCTACGTACACACCTGCGTTTAAGCCCGATGTGTGTTGCACGGGTCGAAGCTTTGGCCGCAGCTGGCTCCCTGGTAGTTGATTCCTCTGTTGGCCATGTGCAAGCGCCGGCTGTGCCAGGCATCGGTAGGAGTTCCCTTGATACCCCTAGTCCTGAGGTCTGCACGGCTCTGGAAACATATCTCGTTACTTTCCGGCCAAGTACCGAAGACGTTGATGATGAGCTTTTCCAGATAGTTATGCAGCACATTGCGCCCCTGCCTGTTTTGCGCTTCACGCTTGAGCAGTGGACTTCAGGTCTGCCTGTAGGTCCTTTGAGATCCGCTGCTGAGGATGTCCTGCTCATTCTACGGCCAGAGCATGTGTGCGATCGGGTGGCTGGTCTTTCTGCCGGAAACGAGGACGTACCCCTGTCCTATCTCCCGATTGTGGATGTCCCCAGAGCAGTCCCACGAGCGCCTTCGCTCCCTATCCTTCACAACTGCAGGGTGCCCCAAGCATGGCGGGCCATCTATTCCCTCCAATCAGCACCGCTGCGCTTGATTTCCTTTGGGTCTTTGGTGCAACATGCAGGGGGTGCCTGCGCCGGCATCTGCCTCGAGTTTCCGGCTCCTCCTGAGCCGCTATCGCCTGTCTTCCGTCCCCCATCTTGCTCTGTCCGCTCCCTCCGTGGGCTGTGCGATTGGACTGGCGCGGTCCTCGACGCGCTTCGTTTCCTTGTTGCACAGGCCAGGTCAGGCTGTCCCGTCTTTGTCAAGTTCCCAGTTGGCAGGGATGATCTACAGCCTCTTTCGGGCTGGCTGATGGACATGCAGGGGCTTGAGACCGAGGAGACGGCTTTTCTCGTTAGTTTCACCTCTGAATTCAATCGTTTCTGTTTGCATTAGGTACGTCTTTTGGACATTCAACCTGCCCGAAAGAAAGAAAGGCTCCTACATTAGCCAGGGCCAGGACCCCGGTTGGGGATCCACGGTGTTTGGAAACACCCACGTCTGCGCTCAGCCCAGAACCCCAACGCTGGCGTGCTTAGAGGCTTAGTTAGTGTCCAGGGCACAAGGTTTCGATTAGTGTGAAGACCCTAAACCCTAAACCCTAAACCGTAAGATTCATGAGCCCACAGCCAAGGAAGAAGCTGGGACAGGGCGGCCAAGGCGCCGTGTATCTGGCCACGGATCGGAGCAGCAAGCTGAGACTTGAAACGTCGGCAAGGGCTTCGCCAGGGTGTATTTGGGGTATAGTAAAGGATAGGGTCTAGGTGTGGTTGAGTTTTTTTTTGCGTTGAGTGGTTGAGGGTTTTTTGCGTTGAGCTTCAGCTCCTTGCTAGAAGCAACGGCTGCAGGACGGTTTTCGCGCCGCGGGCTTTGTGGTTTGTAGGCTTTCAACAGTGGAAACATCTTGAGGCCCTGCACATACGTCCTAAAGTCTGAATGTCACCGAAGGTCCTACGCGTTCTAAGTTCACAAGTTTGGACAGATTCAACCCGGATTGAGCTACCACTGAAGAGCTGAAGAGAAGTCAAAGACCAGCAGAATCACCACAAGAGGGGCTGTGTTTGAAGTTGAAGGCTTTAAGGTGAAAGCGTCGCGAGCCGGGGCATCTAGTTAGTTGCCGAGCTTTCGATTGGCAAGGCCATGGCTGGGTAAATTTCGGACCCAACCATTGGGAACTGCAGTCACCCATTGGCCTTAGCTGAACAACCACCTTGTAACCAGATCTTTTAATATTTCGGGTTGGAGCCATCCGAATGCTCTGCCTTGGCCTTTTCCAGCTATCTGGTATCCAGAAGTATTAGCAGTATTTCGGCGCGGAGGCATCCGAATTCTCTGCTATAGCTTTTCCAGCCATCCTAGCCATCTTGTATCATATCTCGTCATATGCACAAGGGACGGTACTTGTATCCATAGCTCTTAGCAAATTTTCGGAGCGGAGCCATCCGAATTCTCCGCCTTAAGCTTTTCCCAACCATCTTGTGTCCAGATCTCTAAACAACATTTCGGGGCGGAGCCATCCGAGTTCTCCGCTGTAGCTTTTTCCTACCGTCTTGCATCAGTCAAGACCTCTTAACAACACGCCGCGGCAGAGCCATCTGAATTCTCCGCTGTAGCATTTTCCTACCAGCTTCTCTCAAGAAATATCTCGGGGCGGAGCCAGCCGAATTCTCCGCTTTCGTTATTTCCTACCATCCTTTCTCAAGAACTCTTGCAATTTCGGCGCGGATCCATTCGAATTCTCCGCTTTTTCCTACCATCCCATACCAAGAACTCTTAGCAATATTTCAGGGCAAAGCCATCCGAATTCTCCGCTCTAACTTTTCCTACCGTCTTGTATTTAAAGCTCTTAAAAATATTTCGGGGCGGAGCCATCCGCAGCTCGCCAAAGCGTGTTTTCTGCATCTCATGCTTATCGGCCATTACCGCAAGCAGCTCAGGAAGAGAGTGGTCAAGTTCTACAACAAGAGTTGCGCGCTGCTTGGCTGATTCTCCACGCTTTTCAAATTATCACACTTCTATTTTCACACGTTCCCGGTTGTGAGGGATTCAGCCTGCCGTTTTGCAGTTTGCGGGTTTCTTATTTTCGTGCACTGTTATGCATCCTCCGAATTTCTTCTCAAACCAGGGGCGTGCACACACAATGCATCTCTCGATGCCTCTCCTTGTTATCCTGCTCCGCGGATCTGGCGCCTACTCATGTGGGCGGCTAACAGCACCGTAAACTCGATGGTCTTTCCGGCCAGCGTACCCGAACACCGACAGCCGCGAGCAGCGATCTGAGGAATGCACCGGTGGAGGACATCGTGGAGGACCCTGGGGTGCACAAGCGCAACACTGCCACCATCCGAGCTAAGAGCAGCAAGAAGGTCAGCATCATGGTCGGGAAGTCGTCGTACGAGCAGCAGAAGCAGCAGCAGCAGTAGCAGGAGGAAGACGGAGGGAGTACGAGGAGGTGGGGTTGGAACTTTATTCGCCGCAAGCCCCGACATCCGATTCTGAGCAGAACAAACTCTCAAACTTCAACCTCGAACAAACGGGAAACTGCAGCTTTTCAGCCCCACGCATCCTTTCAGAATCCTTGGCCCGAGATCCAGCGATGCGAGGCTGCTGGTTTTCAATCCCGGAATGCCGAAGCCTCCCGCAACAAGCTCAACCACCGAAAGCCGAGTGCACCAAACCTCAAACCGCAGAAACTGCCGAACCCTTAACCCTGAGCCCTAAACTGCTGAACCCTTCACCCTAACCCCTCCGACCCACCTTCCACAAGTTTTGGGTCGAGAGCCGCTACAGTGAAATTCGGGGCTTTGGGGTGCTGCCAGGGCTTGCCGCGTTTGTTATGGCTTCGAGCATGGAATTCTCCTGCCATACTAGTAGTTACTAGGAAGCCCCAACTTGTGATGCCTCTTTTGATGCGAGGCACTCAGCCCTAGTCCGAATGCATGATTGAATGTCAACAACCAGGCACCCTCATGTCAACCCAAGCAGAACTCCATGGAAACACCCGCGGCAGGGGCCATGTATCCTACGCCACTCAGGCCGGAACCCTAGCTGAACTCTCCAGCAACCCTCCTGGAACATCCTGGAACTACGCTAGATCCTACACTTTCAAATCCTAAACCCTCAACCCTCA